AGACGGGGGTGGCACCCATGTAACCTCTTCCGCTGTATCTGTTCTTAAAGCCAAAATAGAAGTCACGTGCAGTTCCTCGAGTGGCCGCTGCGGGAGAAATGGTGGCGTTGTGTTCGTCATTAGCTTGGTGCTCGGAGACAGATTGGGGCCACTTTTTCAAAGCTGTCTCTATGGGAGTTTCTCAACTGAGTGTTTTAGTAACGTTGGTCCCAATACAGTGGAAGGTATGTTGTCATGCGCTTGTACGAGCGTTTCAGGAAGTTCGCCGAACGTGCAAGGGACGCCATTTCTGGGGCATTTGATGGATAAAAATGCATTATGTGTCTTTTCTGCTCAAAATAAACGCTTCAAATGATAAGTTTTTTTGGGCTATTTTTGGGCTATTTTGCGGGATCGACATTTGGCTATTTTTGGGCTATATCTCGTAGACGTTTGGCGGGTTGGAGTTCAAACACCTGGCAACCCTGGTCAGGACAGCAAACATCGGAAGGTGCGCCAAGGAAGGTCCATGGCACGGCACGCTCCCGCTCTCATCGTCCGCGATGGCGCGTGTGTCCGTGACCTTGATCGCCGCCGTATAATATACCATTTGCATGAAAACTTCCGGCCAGATTACGCTGCGTGGCGTCTGCAAAACGGGTGGCGGGTCGTTACGGTAGTCTGTGTATACCGCGTCATCCGGAAACGCTTACGCTGATCGCCGTGGTCAGCTGCTACTGGTCTCGGACTCGTCCGAGCGTTCCGCGCACTGGACTAGGCGTCGCGCAGAGTTTCTCCGTCGTGACGCCAATGCCTGATAAGTCTATATATTGGCCCCGTAGATAAGTGGCCGGACGTCCACCCGCGCTGCGTCGAGCGTGTTTGTTCTGCTTGGCGTTCTCGCGCGTGGCGCTCTCGTTTAGGATGCACGGGAGAAGGCTGGCCGCTTCATGAAGTCCGCGAGTGTGCTCCGTCCAATCTCCGAGCTGACAGTGCGGTGGAAGCTACGTGCTCCTTTGGACCAATGATACGTCTATCGTTCGACACGTGATCGCGCGCGCGGCCCGCAACCGCCCGTGTACCCACGCGCTCAGAGTGCTGGGCGAACGTGCGCGATTCAGTACGTCGGCTTGAAATGTTTTTGTGTGTCCCTTGTCTCCCTTTGCGTTTGCATACCTAGAGGAACTAACTATCGACGCTCGTTGCTTCGTCAAAGTAATGAAGATGTGTTCACTTGTTCCCTGTCTGAGAAATATGCTGGGTCGTTACTGCGAAGATGCGTTAGTTGTACTGCGTTACGTACAAGTCGGGCGGTGGCGTCGGGCCATGGAAGGGGGGCGGTCGGGTGGTCCGCCGAGCCCGTATACAGTTCGCGCCGCACTGTCAGCTTGGGGAGTGGACGAGGTGTAGTGGCGAGGGGCTGGTGGCTTGGGTGTGACGTCGAAAGGGTGTCGTTTGTGACGTCATAGCGAGCCTCGGCGGAGAGGCGCAAATGGACTCCGAATCTCGTTATGGGGCGAGAGATTAGCGATGTGTGCGCTCTGCCGTGAAGTCGACCGTGAAGAAAGGTTGTGGCTTGACGCTTTTTATCGCTTCACGTCAACTGCATACCTTATGAGGTGTTCATTTTATTTTTATTTTTTTAGGGGCCGCTTGGGCTATTTTTATACCACTTCCGTTCGGGAGTTAAATTGCCCGAGTGGCACTTGATAGTGCAGCACACCCTAGAAGTGCAGTTCTAAAAAGTGAGTTTTAGTAGATCGTTTTTTTCTTCTTCTCGCTTTGATAACGTTACGCGGTCAGTACTACCCAGGAACCATTGCTCACGCAGCGCCCATTGCCCGTGCAGGTAGTGTACATCGTGGGTAGTTCATTTCATTTCATTTATTTTCACCTTAAAGGGGTCATGAAGCGATTTTCCTACTTCTTCCTCCTTAGCTGTAATCCTCAACTCAAATGCGAATTGTGAAATCACGTGGTCGTGACATTCCTTCGGCACCGGTGCGATGACTCCTAGCTTCCACCGTGCTTTATATGCACACCATAGAACTTGTCATTCCCTAGTGACAGTAAGTTCCGTCAGGGCACTCATTGGCCACGAACGCGAATCCAAATATTCGTCGACGGATTTGATTGTTGACGAGCGCGTACGTCCGAGTGACGCAGTTCTCGTGTCCAATGCGTGAGCTGGGCTCTACTGACGTCAGTTTGGCGCCGGTGCCGCGCTTTTGGAACCGCGGATGTATCATAGTGAAAAGGCGAAGAGCTTTCGAAGGCAAGAAGGTACAAAATAATCCGCTAATTCGCAAAATTCGTTTCATGGTCCCTTTAAGGGCCCGGTTAGGGCATTACATGAGGGGGGATATATACATGTTACACAAACAAGAAAAGGAAGAAACACAAGCTAATTAATACATCCAGGTCAAGCTCATTAATCGTACATACTGGCAAAAATACTAATAACATGAAAAATGAATACGTAAGCTTGATACAAAAATTACCGCATCTCCACGTGGTGAATGATCTTGATTGGGGCGAAGCTCGGGTGGTGTTGATGATACTGACTTTGGTCATCGGTAGTGCTGATGGTGCGGTTTTCATTCATGTCAGTAGAATAATGTGTGGTTTTCTTCTTTTTCTTTTTGTAAGAAGACAGATGGGATGGCAACTCAGAACCCCCTATTCTTTTTTTCTTCTTTTTCTTGATACTGATTTTGGTCGTAGGTAGTGCTGATGGTGCCGTTTTCATTCATGTCAGTAGAAGAATGTGTGATTTTCTTCTTTTTCTTTTTTTAAGAAGACAGATAAGATGGCATCTCAAAGCCCCCTGTTTTTTTTTTTTTTTTTTTTTTTTTTGCTCTCGCTGCTGAATTTACGAGCAGGGGCACGCCGGACGGCGGACAGGCATACGGGCATGGCTAGCCTCTAAGGAACTTCGCCCCTAATACTTCTGGGTCCACGATGGTGGCGATGGAGGATGGTCTTGGGATGGTAGGCTGCTCCAGTCGGAGATGACTTGAGGAAGGAAAGACTGATTGAATGCGTTTGTGGAACCGGAAACACGTTTGATTGTGCAGGAGTTGTTAAGACGAGAGGATGTTCTGTCAGGAGGTGATAACAAAGAGTTCTTGAGGTCGGGGCAATGATAGTAGACTTTATGAGGAAGACAGAGGCGAGAGAGTTTTCTGCGGAGCTGCAAAGAAGACCGGGTTAGTTGACTTTTTAACGCGGATATACTGACAGAAAAATCGTAAGTGGACAAGATGAAATGATTGGAATGCAAAAGCAGCCTACTATAAAACTGCCTTATCTACGCAATCGCGGACAGTTATCAACGTACTGCTTCGTTTCGCCCTAAGTCCATCGGCTAGCAGCCGACGGACAGTCGAAACTACACGAAAAACGCAAGAAAAAAAAAACTTTAAAAAATTTTGCATGGGTTTTAGCGTGAAACTGTTTATCGTATTGCATTCATTTTAGCGGTTGTATCAAAATGTGTGCTGGTTTCAACGAGCTTACATGTTTCCCTCTCACAGTGTCATGACATGGCCAACTCAAGACAGAGGACGCGTAAGCATTAAACCTATACTTAGGACGGATTTATAGAATCCTTACTGCGATTACATTTCAGATGATTGTTGTTTCGGGTGTTCAGAGACATCATACCGTTGGGCTGTGTGTGACACACGCCAGGACATCGCAGTTGCGAGAAACATCGGCTGTCTCTCCCAACGAGCGGAAACGAATCATTAATTCATCATTTCGTCCGATTATCTATGGTCTTTGACACGATGAGGACGGCGGCGGGGAAGCCCTTCGGTTGTCCCATCCCCAGTGCCCGAGCTTCGTCCTATATCTTCGATAGACACTTCGACGTGGACTTGGAGCGCACACGCTCAGCTGGTTCGCGGCGGACGGCGTCTAACGCGTGCTGGAAGTCGGGTATCCAAAAAGGAGACGCCTGGCCGTTTTCGCCCTACCAGTGGCTAATTATAAATTATACATGGGTAATTTCATCCTAAAATTGTGCCGACAAAAAAAGTCAAACTTCTAATTTTGACGAAAACAAAATCTCGCAAGGAATGTTTCTACGTACTGGAAGAATGGCGAAAGCGGCAAGATGTCAGATTATAATATATATATATATATTTTGTTTTTGTTTTTTTCCTGAGTATTTGAACGCAGAAGCGACCGCGGTGGAAATAGCGCTTTTCCTAGCTGTCGAAGGTCGCATGCTCGACTCACTCTCCTCTCGTGGTGTTTGCATCTACGTTACTTTCAGTTTTGACTTTTATATATGTGCACCGTTAAGAGGTCTTAATGTATTTAAATATTTCTAAGCATTTTACTTTTTTTTTAATAAATGACCATACTCGATGGTGCTATGTCTGTGAACGTTATATTTATAGTTTTTATGTCGACGGAAAGCGCGAAAGAAGCTCGTTATAATAATGTGTCTCGTTCATTTGTTATCGTTATCTTTTTCAATAACGTCAATTGAAAATCGTAAAAAATCATAAAGTGTCAAGTTTAATTTATTGTTTTTAAAACCCAGTTTTTTATGCTTTTGGTTTCTTCTTTTGGGCTAGTTTCCCCAGTTTCGTGTTGGTCACCCAATAAATGTCGACACAAAACTCTGGACAGCTACCGCTAATATTTTGGTCCCTTTGGCACCGACCACTACGTCCTTGGACAGGGGCTTGGAGCATGCTCATCACATGGTTCCGCTCTGATGACTGTCGTCAACTGTTCTCACTCCCCAATCTCCCAAAAACACTGAAGGGAAGGAGACGACTGCAAAGTGGCGAGGAGCAAAGTCCTGCTGTTTGCGTAATGTCCTGCCTGAAAACGTACGCGGGCACCGGGTCTTTACGCTTTTCAGAAAAAGCCCACCGTTTTTTTTTTTTTTGTGTGTTTTGTGCATGGCATTGGTTGTGTTCTGTTTGGACAGCCCTTGAAACGTTCTTTGCGCAGCCAAGGATGTTCCCCAAAGATGACCTCGAATATGTCTGTCTTTGCAGACATGTCGCAAGAGATGGTCCTTGTCCAACGGCTCGCTGAACTCCAGGAGCGTCTGAAGCACGCCGAGATGCTGAACCACCAGCGCTGGGAGGACGTACTCAGTCTCCAGCGGGACCTGGGCAACCGCAACGGCACCGGGGAAGGGACCCTGCTGGACCTTCAGCTGCCCGCCATCTACAACTTCTTGCCGCACCTGGCCAATGGACCGGACGCCATCAGGCCCGCCCTGAAGGTGTCCAAGGGCCGTACCGGAGGTAAACGACTGGGACGTGGCTGAGCCTCTATAATCTTTAGCATCGCCTGGATGGTGGTTCGGTGCTGCCAGGAGGAGGTCGCCGGGCCGCCCGATTGCCGTTGCCAAACTCCTTCTGGCAGTGCATTATGACGTCCGTTTTGTGCCATGGCCACCGGGATGTCATATTGTTTCTACCGAGATGCCTTTGGCAGTGCATTGTGAAGTGGGAATAGGCTTTATTAAGATGTTGTAATACTGTGCAGTGGAGGTGGTCATAAATATAGGATGTGGCAGACTTCTGTCAAACCTTCAGGTCCAACTCAGTGTCCGAATCTTTACAGTTTTGGCTAAAGTCGACGAAGTTCGATTTTTGAGCTGTGCAAAGTTAGGCTGGAACATAGTTACGAAATTGTTTTTATAGTTGAAGTGAGCCAAGGAGGGAGGTTACATAGTTTGATGATTTCGACTGTAGTTACTAAGAATATGAAAGCTCAACACAAAGGATAGGGACGGGTACCTGTCTCTTTCTGACCTTCCTTTAGGTTTAGCTTTCATATTCTTACGTTCCTTGTTTCTTTGCAATACAAAAACATGTTTACTAAAGCCACCGGGAAAAAATACCTTCCTATTTAGTTATGTTTAGCGAATGGACGAATCTACATATTTTTAAAATATTTAAAACTAATTCTGGTTCTGTAGAGGTGGTTCTGTTGTATTTCGTATACGAGTAACATAATAATGATCTTCAGTTCATAATTAGAAGAAAAACCTATAATCAAGTGTCATTATTTTTTTAATATGGCTATTATATTTTTTTGTCACGGTATGAACAGAAACAGTGTAACCTTAAACCCCATCCAGCAGCATGCACTCTGGAAGAACATTAAAATTCCCTGCTAATATTATGTTGATTAGCATATTTTGGTGGCGGTTTGTGAACAATGCTCCATCACTAATCACTTCAAGGAGGACATTCGGTAGGGTGTTCTTTTTTTGTATGCACCAACACGCTGGTATGTGGTATGACGTCACACCGCAGCGGTGGCGTTGCTTTCGGCATGGCGCATGAGCAGTGGCCACTCCTGGTGTCACGTGGGCAAACGCGAGCCTGTTTCTAAACAGCAGCACGTTGGCCTTCCGACGTTTCCTCAAACTTGCACACGCCCTCTGATTCGCTTGCAGCGACAATGGTATTAGGCATCCCCACCGTGAAGCGGGAGGTGCAGAGCTACCTGATGGGAACGCTGCACAACCTCATCGCCAACATGAACCCCAACGAGAGGGAGACGTCGCTGATTGTCGTCCTCATCGCTGAGGTGCGGCCGCCTCTTTTGTTCCTTCACCGCGTTCTCGTTAGCGGAGCGTAATTGGGCAACACCTCCTAGGTAACAAAGCCGTGGTGCCGATAGAGATGTCGTCATCAGCGAAGGTTAACGCTGATCACCGATTGGACACGACGATTGCGTCAACGTTCGGCTCAAACTCGATTCGAAGCCGAGCGCTGACGCAGCACTCGTTTCCAATCGGCGTCCAACGTGGGCCTTTGCTGGTGACGCAAAAATGTCGGCACTACGGCCTTGTCTTCTAGGCGATGTTAATAAGGGCCGGGGTCACACTGCTTGTACATTGCACAAAAGACAGTCTGCGTACAGCTTCGAACGCGAGTCACCGCGCGAGGTCTTGCGCTTCGAATGCCGCATGGCAATGAGTTCAAAGAGGATACTATGGACACGCGGCATTCGGACCACGGATATTGCGGTGATTTGTGTTTTGCAGACTGTCTTCTGCATGATGGGTATGGGCAGCGTGATCCCGGCTTCGGGGCCGGTTCACACGTACTATCGGGGAAAAATGAAATGCGAACAGAGGAGCGCGTGGCTCGCGGTACAGGCTGCGCCGCCTGGAAGTGAGCCTAGGGGCGAGGGTGCGTGGCCTACTCCGATGTGTTCACGCCCCTCAATTGGCGCTCCCCCAGCTTCGGCAGTGCGCCTCTCAGTGCGCTGAAAGCTGTCACCGCTATCTTTGCCTGCTCGGCGAGTGCGGCAAGCTTCTTTGCACCGCACGCGCAGAGCCAGCGAAGATAACGGTGATAGCTTTCAGCGCACTAAAAGGCGCACTGCTGAAGCTTGGGGAGCGCAGAGGGAGGGGCCTGAACACGTCGGAGTAGGCCACGCACCCTCGCCCCTAGGCTCACTTCCAGGCGGCGCAGCCTGTACCGCGAGCCACGCGCTCCTCTGTTCGCATTTCATTTTTCCCCGATAGTACATCGCAGCGCCAATTCAAAGCCGACGCGACGAACCGACGGAGCCTATCAAGCAACGTCAAAAATGCATCGTCATGGCGCTCATCGCATCCGTGCGTTTGCTATGACGGGCCACGCGCAGTTTTCAGCCGCTATACTGCGCTTTCTTTTTTGTTCTGTGCGTGACTGGTTTAGCGGGTGACAGCAAGCCCACAAAGACTACGAGTACCATGACAATGTAGTTTGGGCACCGCTTGTTTGGCTCCATTCGATCATGGCGTCGGCTGCGGTCAGACTTGACAGTGAAACGGAATATGCAGCGCTGACTTGAACGTACTGAGCACTGATGCAGCGCTGCAGCGCTGTACCATCGGTGTATCTCTCATCTAGCGCGGGGCTCTGCATCGGCCAGGCAGCGCGTTTCTAGGGCTGGGGTGTATGTGCCGACAGGCCTTTAGGCTTTAGACTGATATTGCAACAGCAAAAATGGGGTGGTGCAACACATGAAGATTCGAGAGCGTCGTCTGTTTATCAGAAAGTGGTGCCGGGGATTGTTGCTGATTGAGTCGACAATGCTAAGAAACAGATTTCACTAACGAAACAACGGAGATGACATCCGTCGCCCTACGTGTTTCCTTTTTTAAAGCGGTAGTATATTGGCCCAACCACACTCAAAGTTATGTCCTCGTCCTCAAGGTCATGTCGTCATGGTCATGTACTCAAGGTCACGCAATGCCGCGGCTGAAGTGCAAGGTCACGTAAGCGCCGGTGGCTGAGGCTATCGCGACCTGACGCCCTTGAGATCGTAGTAGTGGTCGTTCTTGACGTCGTCCTCTAGGACGCTATCCTCGACGTCGTCCTGAGCCTAAGCCAGCCGGCTACAGCCAGGAGGCGCTAGAAGAGTGAGAGCCCACGGTTATACCCTGTCTTGTTGTAACTTGCAAATGTTAAAAGACAAGCCCCACATCGCGTGCCGACGGCTTCGATGTGTGCTACGTACATACCAGCGCAACGCACACATATTAGAGCATGACGCAGCGAAAAGCCTGATACTTCTTCGCAGTAAAAGCGCACTCTGGAGATACATTGTCGCGTTACAATTGGCTCGCCGTACTGGCATGTCATGCGATCACGACTTCCTGGCCTACCCAGTATTTCTTGCTTCAGACGCTAGGCCAAGCGGCGCCAGCAGAGTAATAGCTCACGTTTGAACAATACAACCGCCACCACCTGGCATACCCAATGGTTTTTTTTTTTTTTTTTGCTTCATAGCGCCAAATCAAACAGCATTGCTGGATGCCTATACAGGAACTTGACGTCGTCCTCGACGGCGTCTTTGAGGTTGTATTAGCGGTCGTCTGAGACGCTGCCGTTGAAGTCGTCCTCGACGTTGTCCTTGAGGTCGCCCTAGGCGTCGTTCTTGAGGTCATCCTAGACGCCTCCCTTGAAATCGTCCTAGAGGTCGTCCTAGGCGTCGGTCTTCAGGTCGTCTTCGATGTGTGCACGGCATATTACAACCATTTCATCACCACGCCAACCACTTCCTCTCCTAATTGTTTTCACTAACGACGTTCCTGGAAAGCTACCACATTTTATCGCAATTGGTCGAATGAGTGTGCCTGTAATTTTTGCGAATGTAGGGGCTGTTTCTTCATGTTTGAAAGCAATGAAACAGTGAAGGTTATTAACTAAGATATCATTTCGAAAGAATTGCGGTTTTGTCCTTCCGGATCTAGCGTTCGTAGTTGCCGTTTGGAAGCCTGCTCCTCGAGGTAATATCAGAAAAGTTTGTAGCCCTGTGAGAGGAAGTTTGAAAGGCTAACACATTTAAAAATACTCGCGTTGTAAAAAGTTTGGGTCGAACCACTACGAGAGGTTCCCGACGAGGCGCAAACTCGCCGCGACGTGACTTCCTTTTTTTTTTTTTTTTTTGACTATAACCTTCTAGGGTTTGCACTGTAGTTGCAGTAATTGCTAGAGTTGGCAGCATAGGCATTAACTGTATTGTAAATGCCTCTTCCCCCCCATTTCTGAAACTTGTCTGTTGAATGCCATGCAAGTTTTATGTTATCTGGACACAGTTTGTAAGAACTAGTCTTAAAAGAGCGCTGAAATAATTTTAGAGGTGTTTTAATAGACATTTCAGAAAAAGGGGCAAGTAATGAAAACCTGGTAATTATGCCCTATTAAAAATGCCACCAAAAATCGCTACACAATAGTCTTGTGCGAATAGTGGATTTTGAGTTCGAAGCGAATTCGAAGCAAATAGTGGTTTTGTCCGAATATTTTTTATTCAAATATCAGATAGTTTTTCTACGCCTTTCACTACCATTGCATAATACTTAGACGAAAACCCAGCTAAATTTGTGAAGGTTGTTCCACTTGCTTATTTATAAACCAAGTTTAATCTATCTATATTAATGAACTGTAACCTCAGAAGGTCTGGTGTCTTGGAATGGCAAGCAAACGACGGATTTGGCATAAAATGAATCCTGTAGAGATGGCCAACTATACCCAAAGGAGTGAATTTACAAATCTTCCTATATAAAATATTCTTTCTTTAATCTCGAGTTAAAAAAGAATAAATCATGCATGATGAACGCAGGTTGTAAGGGCATCCCTGCCTAACAGTATACTCTTGCATAACAGTTTAATTTTGAAACTTTTACTACAATGTAGATACACACATTCACAAAGTTTTCATTTATTTTCGAATACAGTCGGCACAGGTGCACCATCCAACTTTGAGTGTATGCTTTACTTCCAAGCACGCAATTACAATATTCATACTTTTCCAAGTGTTTATCGCGGCGGGTTACCCCATTGAGTGCGCTTCTCGCCAAGCACCGGTGCGCTGCGCAGAAGCAACACCCGCGGAGTTCGCTTCCGCGGGTATTGCTTCTCCGCAGCGCACCAGTGCTTGGTGAGAAGCGCACTCAACAGGGCTAACTCGCCGCAATGAACACTTCGAAAAACCCGAATAGTGTATTATTCGGAACTACTATACGAAATTTCGAATATTCGCACAACCCTACTACACAACCTTTCTTTGGAGATATCTCAAAGATGAGGGTGTGCCACGATGCTTGGTCGCGTTTTTCTCGAAAGGGGGGCGAGTCGCGGTGTTTGGTTGTGTTTTCTAAAAAAAAGTGTAGTGTCAAAATGTTTGGTTGTGTTTATGTAAAAAAAGAGGGGGGCGTGTCATGATGTTTGCTCGCGTTTTTAACAGAGAAGAAAGCCATTTAAATCATAATTTGATGGATATTTTAGGATGCTTAGGCTGCATAGACTGTCAAAAAACAAATATAAACTCCAAATTTTTGCGTTCCTTTGAACTCACAATCATAAATTTGTTTGCTTGGAGTCCCTTTAGTGAAAGAGCTGGTGGCATCTGGGCCAATTTTGAGGAAAGTACTGTGTTCCTGTCCTGTTTTATGTGCCTTTCTTTAACTAAAGAAACTGAATATATATAAGGGCCTAACTTCAATCAATCTGTCCACAACACTCAATAGAAATAAGAAATTATATATGACTAAGATTGACAAAATATGTAAAGAGATAGTAGAGAGTGCCTTCAGATAAAACATGTATGTATATATGTTGTAATTTGTGTTTAATTAACATTTAAAATGCATCTTTTTTTCTGACAGACTGACTTGGAGTTTGTTAACAAGCAAGCAGCTGAGATACAAGAAGAGTAAGTCTTTTCAGAAGATTGAATGAGAACAAGAGTTGTAAAAAGAAAAAAAAAAGAAGTTAAGGATCTGAAATCATTTTCAAAAACCAACTGGATATAACATGCTGTATTCCTTTCACAGATGTTTTCTACTAATTTAAGGGCACTAGTAGTGTTTCAAATATCAGCCCCTTGTGGATAAGAAATAGATTCATTAGGTTTCTAACACTTTGGAGCCTGATACCAGTGGTGTCGTTGATGAGAGGCACTGCCAAATGGTTTAACTTGTTAGGTGCTCGGTTCTGCAGTTGATTTCTGCAAACATTTTTATTTGTTCCTACATCATTCGTTTTTATCAGCTGATATAAAGAAAACAAACATTGGAGTAAACTTCGCCATTTTGATTTTTTTCAATACAGACTTCATGAGCACACGGAAAGTGGTCTGCTCGAGATTGTGGCGCCACCTGCGTCCTACTATCCAGACATGGATCGTCTAAGGGAGACCCTGGGCGATCCCTTGCAGCGTGTGAAGTGAGTATACTGCCGTCCTGTTTTTGTTGCCTGCGCAGATCCTCGTCTGCTGAATCGGTTCTCGTGTGCTGACCTGGTTCTCATTTCCAGAACTATAGTTGGTGACAGGTTGAGGGTTTAGGGAAAGCTCCTTGTACCTCTTTTTACTTTAGCAGAGTGAATGCTTGGAGGAGGTGACCTTTCGTCGAGCATTCAAAGTGGAAAGGGATGAAGGTTTTCCTGAAGTCTTAACCTGTCACCAACTATTGTTCCCATGTGCTGAGCTGGTTCTCATTTACTGGGCTCTTTTTTTATTTTTTTGCTGAACTTGTTTTTATTAGCTAAACTGGTTCTCATTTGCTGAACCAGTCCCCATTTGCACTGAACTGGTTCTTGTTTGCCAAACTGATTTTCACAAGCTGGGCTGGTTTCTACTTGCTCAACTGGGCCCATGTTCTCCATGTACTGAACTAACTCTCATTTGATGAGTGTGTTTTATTTTTTTACTGCACTGGTTTTCCCCTCATGAAATCATTCTTTTTTTAATCATTGATGAACTAATTCTCACTTTCTGATCTTGTTCTTCCGACATTTTGAAGAATAAAAGAAATGGGGGGCCAATTCCTATGGCCGTGGTATTATTTCTTTTGGATTTAGAGGGCGGTGCTATTGGTTTATTTGCTGCAGTCTGGTTTATTTTGTCAAATCTGCAGAAGGGTTGAAGAGTTGGAGTTGAGCCTTTTTTCTTTCACGAATGCTCGAGCTCAGAATTGCACTCGTTCTACTAGAGGCAGTTCTCAGTTGGCTATGTTTGATCAAATTTCAGTTGTTGTTGAAAACTTGTCTAATCTCTTTGTGTTTGATGAAAGAAACAAGGCACTGAATATTACGGCACAAAATTGTTAATAAACTAATAAAAATTGGGCTAGGAGGATTTAAAAATAATATATTAATTCTTGATTCTTGATATGTCACGCTATCTCTTCTTCTCAAAACTGGACTCGGAAATGAAGAAAGCCTGCAGCGATAATTTATATTAATACAAACTTCTGTTTGTATCTGCTCAAGCATATATCAACTAAACATTTTTGCACTGTTAGGTACAAAAAGTATAAAATTACTATTTATAAAACAAAACATGAGGTATAACTAGGCTGTGCGTTTTCCGGTTTCAGCCAAAAAAAAAATTGATAAACATTCAGCAGTGACGAAAATATGAAATCGGTTAAAACCGAAAAACATTGATGGTTGAATGTTTTTGCCTCTATTAGAACTGAAAAACACTGGTTGTCGAATGTTTCTGCCGTAGCGACAGCTATTTTTTTTTAAAGGTTCTTCCCCCGTAGGAGGTTCGTCAATCAAATTATCTCGTAGATCCTGCATCCCTCCTGTGTCTATTTAGAGGTCGCTGTGGTTCTCTGAAGACACTACCATCATCAGTGTAGTTCAGGGCCACTGACCTTGAAAAACGCATCTCTTCACCTGGGGGAGGGATAACAGCGTTCACTGTTATCTATTTTAGTTTTCACAGGCTTCCGGGGCTACGGGTTCGGTTTAATGTCACCCCCCTGTCTTGGATTCGCTAGAACTGTTCCACTTTTTTGGATGTGTGTTGACAGGTGCATGCCTTCTTATATGGTCTCAACCTCAAGGTCATTTCCACCAACGCAAAAGGACAAAGTCTATACAGTTTAAGTGCCACAGTCTCCATCACGCAATGCAAGGATGTGGACAACCTTACAGGTCGGCGCAATAAGGAACATCCATCCTCCTTCTAACTTGAACAAAAGGATCTCTTCCCCATCTATTCTAAGCACAGTTAGAATTCCCACATCTGATTAAAAAAACGTTTAGTACGTTCTGTCCATCTCGCAGTCGTGGAAGGTGCCCTAAAACTCCTGCCTAGTTTCCCAGTAATATGCAGATTCGGTGCGTCCTTTTGCAGGTTTCGATAACAAAGACTGAACTTAGAAACAAGATGAAGCTGTGCGTCTTTTTGGCAATTCTGAGACTGAAGTTAGTGCTGCGGCTACAGAAAAACCATCTGCAACATTTGACGTGCCCCTTGAGCTCTTTTGAAATATTGAACTTCAATTACTTTCGCTGTGGGAGCATGTATTCAAGTTGACTCAGGGTGTACAGGGCCTCACTTTTTTCACCGATAATCACAGTTTTAGCCTTGCCTCGAGTCATCAAACTGAGATATACACTGGTGTTTAAAAAATAAATAAACACTGAGAAACATATGCCGATTTTTCTATACACACCCTAGATATAACTATAACTTCAGGGTTCTTTTTTTACTTTCTGTGCGTGACTGTGTTACGTTGCAAGTGACTTTCTGGCAATTCTGCCTGCGCTCTTCACTCAAGCTTGGCGTCTTTTCGGTTGCATCTTCTTCAGATGGAGGGCAAAGCAGACTTTGGACTTTGCATATCTTATGATGTATGCTCAGAGCAGGGGAACATTTTATGTGCAGGTAAGTCTGAGCGGGAAAGCAAACATGCGATATAAAGTCTGCAATATGTGCCAAGTAGCTGTACCTGTTAGATGCCAGTTAATTGCACATGCATTATGGTACAATTCCTAATAACATTGGTTGAGTGCTATGCCATTAATATAGTACAAGGTGATTCGAAAGTCTTTGTACGTGTCTAATCAGTCTTCAATTGGAATGGTGTGCATTGTACTCAGCTGCTACTTTCCTACTGCTTGCAAATCCTACCAAAGGATAATATTTATGCACTTTTCTTCAGGTAAGCCAAAGGGGATTTTCACTCGCTACCTCCAAGAAAAGTACATGTCATTTTTTTTTTATTTATGGAGGCTTTTGAATCAGTGGTTTAAGCTGGCAACTTGGTGTGAACAACTAGTAGCTTAACAATGAAATGTTCATTTGTCGAAGACGTCACGGGTCGCAGTTCACGGAAGACTTGCCAAATTAATTTCTCAGTTTGCCTTTCCAAACACAAGAAGGAGACAAGGTCTGTTCTTCTTCAGAGACGTGTGCAGTCTCTGGCAGTGTTGACATGACAGAAAGGTCTTCTAGTCTCCCTGCCTAAACCATTGGCGTTCTGTGTTCGGGCATCGTTTGAGCTTTTAACTCTTTCCTGACCATGGGAGAAGTATTGATTTTCAAAGGATCTGTGCAAACGCTTATATTTTATGAACTAATTCGTGTATGGAGCTATATGACACATCAAAATGTGGCCACTTAGTTATTTAAAAAAAGCAAAGGTTGGTAAATGTGGGGAAATTATTTAAAAATTTGATTTCTTGAAAATACAATGTACGTGCAGAAGGTGTATAGAAGCTGAAACTTCTACAGCTATGTCAATATACCGTAAATGACAAAAAAAGAAAATTCAGAATATTTGCGTCTCCAGCGAACTATAAGGGGCGTGCTGGTCAGACAAAATGGCGGATGAAAGGAGGTCGTTTTCGTTGTTCAGCACGTGAACCACCATACATTTCTTACACTGTAGTGTACAATCGTTACATATGAAAGCATAGCGATTTTTCGACGGTAGAAACCTTCTTCTAGTCACCGTGTAGGAATGACACAGTGAAAGCATAAAAATAATTACTGGAAACAATGTTTGTTTCTGTGCTGCCTACGAGAATCAGGCAGCGATAGCAGACAACAGAGTCGAAACGACCTCCTCTTCTGAGCTTCTCGGCGTTGCTGCCACGTGGCGTTGATTTCGCTGGAATCGCCAATACAAAATGTGTTCCACACCGATGGGTATTATTTCTGAAAGTTACTGTACTCTTTTTGTGGTTCGTTGGATAGTTAGCCTCCGTAACGTGTTGTGCTTTTCAATGAAGGAATGCTTACATTGGTGAAACGCAGAAAATGCACCTCACACTCCCAGCAGAATGCTTTTTGTGTTCTACCTTGGTTTTGCCATAGCCTTGATTGCAGTTTCTTCATAATTACCTATTTTGTCCACCTTGTTGGGAACATAAAACATGTTACGAAGACTGATGCAAGCAGTTAGCTATGTTAGACGAGTGCAACCACCGTTCCCAGGGCTATTTTTAACAACCAACCAGCTTGTGATCAAGCTCAAACCTACCTTGAAACTGAAACTACTGTTTCTCGGCTATTGGCGACAAGATGTTTTGGTGGCGCCACCTCGCAGGCCTCCTGTGAAGCAGCTGGTGGGATGCGAGCAGACGATGAGTGGCTACGTTAGTTTGCATCTATGCCGAATAAAGACAGTTTATTTAATAGAGAAATCTGTGTAACAGTTTTGTGAGTGATCGTTCTAATGAATAACAGCACCTCGAAGGTGCTTTTTATTGTAGAAAAACTTTAAAATGTTCAAAAACAAGCCTGGAGCCTCGCATTACAGCTTGCACAGTGTGCGTCGGGGCTATTCACAGCCTTTCTGTTTCTTGTTTTTTTTTAATCTGTGGAGGCTGCTGTAGGAAAAGGTTTTGCATTCACCAGAGTAAATGACATCCTGTCCTAGCTGTGCACGTGAGGCGCCTTGCGCACAGTTGTGTTGCGAAGCGCTGCACACTTGTTTTATCTACACCGAGCTTGCCGATACCGACGCTGCTATCGAAGTGTGACTCGACAGTGGCTGCCAAGCAAATGCTTGTCAGCAACTGACGGTCAGCCCCCCCCGAATCGAATATGTGGCAAAGAAGTGTGTCACATCCCACCTTCTGCTCGAAAGGAAAGCAGAAATTTTCATAAATTCTTAAATTGTCGGCCATGGCCTGGCAAATCCAGGTGATTCATTAATTTGTTCTATTCTATTTTTACTCAGGATTGTTTACAAATATAAAGTCGCTTGGCTGAGAACTGCATACGCATTTTTGCACATTTGGGTCCGCAAAAATTAAACATACAAATGGTAGTAATTCGGAGCGAGTGTGTACTTCATTTTTTGGGACGCTCAATTTTCACTGACTTGTTATGTTCAAGTCTTCGATCGCGAGGGGGTCTTGATCTTCCTGCATCGAACAGGTGAATAAGCAGGGATTTAGTCGATCCTACTCCGGAACCCAGCCACCGCTTCTTCCCGGCAGTTATTTTGAGGAAATGTTCGTTTACTAGTTTCTGAAATTCAAGAGGAATCAATTCTAAACTAATCGGAGACCAGCACTCAGAGAACACATTGAAACCAACAGGATACACGGAGTCGCTTTCACTGAAATGTTTACTACACACACAAGAGGTTCTCGAATTTCGCTTTCCTGTTTTCAATTTGATGAGACATTCCTTTCTTACAGTATACCAACCAACCAGGCCAACAACTTGCCAACCATGCCAACAACAAGTTTTAATTCCTTTCTTAGTTTTATTTTTTCCTCATCGTAATAGAAAATACACCCTACTCGCTGCGGTAGATGTTGCATTGGGATAAAGTGCTGAATATTCTATTTTCGTCCTCCAGCTTTTTGTACTGGGGGTAGAGAACAGGGGGGCACACCACCATCTGGGGGCTTTGACACCTCGGCACCAAATGTGCTTGTTGCCACGACTATGCGTGCCACGTGTGGAACTTTGGTAAAATGTCCCACTACAAATATCACTTCACCAAATAAACATAACGCGTGAAACGCTTTGCCACGCGGTGCCCAAACAGTGCATGAAGCGAGCTGACGAGCCGAGCGATCCAGGATCTGCGGGTCTGTCCCAGTCTGTCCTACCCGTGATGTCACAAACGATGATGATGATGGCTAGAGAAGTGCTTCGTGTAGTTCGCGCACACCGCCAATCCACGAGATTGGGGAACATAATTCTCCAGCCTAAATTTAATTTTTTTATGGCGCTTGGGAACCATCGATTACCGTTGTTCGATGGACTATGGGCGCGGTCAGGAAAGAGTTAAACATGCACGCACGTGCACCCAAGAACAGTCGTATGGTTGTGCACTTGTATCGGAATTAGGACAACCAGACCTCCTTGTACTGCTTGTCGTGCGAGTGGCTGACATCTTGATCCTTCAGCTTTGGCAGAGGCCAATTGATGCAACAAGGTTTCTTTCGTTGTCCCAGCTTGAGGATGACATCCTGAGCAAACCGGGCTACATCAGCAAGATGCGTGAGAGCGCCTACAAGCAAGTCAGCCTGAAGAGGCACTGGCTGATCCTCGACTTTTGCCAGCTTGGATTCATAGGCAAGCGGTCTATTTATCTACCTATCTGTCTCTCTTTCTTGCCACAAGACTCGAGTATGACAGTTCTCAGCAGGAGGGCACAGTGCCTGCATGATCTGTGATGATAGGCCAAGCAAAAGGATTGGCTTTTAATGAGATGTTTAGGGCGTGACAGTTTCAAGTGTGGTAGCATTTCCGAGCAAGCCCTATGCACTTTTGCACGCGTGGTTTGGTTTGTGGCCAACGAAGCGGGCAGCACGCATCTGTTGCACAGCTGTTACATAACCCAACATCAGCTTTTACATAACCCAACAATGTTAATATACCTAGTACATTAGGTTCTGAATGGCAAATACAGTTACGAAGGGTCCTATAATGTTCACATACATATTATATTTGTATCAGTATATAATAAGAGAGAAACATTTGAATGGCCGTAATGCTACAAGAAACATTGCTGGCTGGTCTTGGGAAGCCCGCCTGCGGGAAGTAGACATTGTTGACATTCTAGGGATGGAAATCGTTCCTCGTATTTTCACCGCAGTTCATGTAGTAGGCAGTTTGATAAAGATATGTTTACGCAGTACAAGACATTGCAAAATGCTATTTTGAGTGGCAATCTGTGCTGCGATTTTGAAAAAACTTTCTTTTTCCTTGTGCACTTGTTCTAGGCAAGATGTTCAAGTGTGTGGACCTGTCCAAGTTCGTGGCCTTCTTTCTCATCTTCTACAACGACAAGCCGGTCGATTGGTTGCTTGACAACATGATGATCACCACGGTGTGCCGCAGTGATAAAGATCAGGTGAGCGATGTCTCTGTAAAACACAAATGATCACTGTACCCTGTATCACCTTGCGATAGACCGAAGCCAGTGACATATCCAGGGAGGCTTATGGTGCTTCAGCCCCCCCCACAAAATATCCAGCCGACCCTATAATGTACACATGCACTTTGACCCTTTCCCAAAAAAAATTCCTGGCTGCACCACTTGCTGCAGCAGATGGCATGAGCCATCCCAGTCAATTCAGTGCTGTGAACGTACCACATGCACACGCCCCGCACATTGCTGCATCCCATCTGAAGGTCAAGGGACACTCTTACGGCACTGGGTTGTCTTCTATGGCTTGTATTGCCCTCCACGGCTCATCGTAAGGTGAAAATGAATATAGTAACACTGATACCTAATTAATGAATTCCCTTGAGCTTTTGCTGGCTGCACTTGCACTTAAGGGGTGTTTTGCTATCTCCGGAAAGATCTAGCTTCAACTGCCTGGTAAACCACCAGGCAGACGAAGCTAGATCTTTCCGGAGATAGCAAGACACCACTCAAGTGCAAGCGACAAAGTCTCCTTCTTGAGACTTCGATATCTATATAAGAAAAGCGTTGCAAGATAGTGCGTTGCATAGATTGAGCTGTATGGGAAACTCGTTAAATAACCAGTACATACTTTGCTAGAATAAATGGCACAGTGCTTCAACACGGTCGTGCACTGGTCTGTGCTTTATGGCAGATTAAGTTTCAAGATGGAGGCTATCATATTGGATGGACAGATGGTATTGGCTGTACCCTTTTCATGGGGTGGTAAGTTGTGCCACCTAGCACCTTTACACCCCTCCCCATTAAATATATTGCTCTAAATTCGGTATTTTTTTAGATTGTCTACCCCACCAATTTCGTGTATTATCACACTTCTCTAGACCTTTTCCATCAATTTTCTAACCTCTTCTTTGTGATTGTAATTCTTTTTTCGTTCATTCTTTCGTGCTCGCCTGCAAAATCCAGCACTCCTGCCAAATTCATTACCTCGCGGAGAAGTGTTCCCAGCCTTTAGCACTACGAGTTAATTTTTATCTATTGAACATATTTATTTATCAATCTAGCAAAATACTCGGAATATCCTGCTCATATTTTTTTTTTGTTTCAACAGAGATAGTTAGTGCCATACATTTGGTTTTAACGTTTGTTCAAAGGTTCAGCACCTTGTGACATTCATAAGTCAAAAACAAAAATATTATTGGGGTTTCTTTGTTTTTATTATATACTTGACACAAGTTGTGACCATTATACAGTAGACTTTCATTGTTTCAAACTCCAAAAAGTCGCGAATTTTGTTTGAATTACCAGAAATTTATTTAAAGGGACACTACAGTGTTTATATGCTTGCCAAGGTTTTTATTTGTACACTACACGCGAAAGCCCAACTACCCAGAACACAATGTGCAGCTCAAAATTTGTTTGCTTTCCGCCTGAAAACTGCCAATCGAGAACTGGCCGGTTTGAGTCGTGCTCACTCTGTTCTCCGTGGTTACGTGCCGTTTTTTATGGTTTAGAAACAACCACCAAATATAATTAAAGCCATGGGTCACTGAAGGCACACACTCAAGATTAAATATAGAAAAGGAAATGATACCCGTATTTGCGCCTTCGAAAGAACTGCAAAAACGTTGATTAAAAAAAAATAGTTGCGCAGTTACCTGATTTTCAGCCATGCTCTCTTTCAATACACTTCTTCTTCCTCCTCAGTCTAGTTTCGGTTTCAGTTTTGAGCAATTGCGTTTTTTTTTTACTTTATTAAAAATAAATGTGACACTGTAGCAAAATATGATTGGGTAGTCTTCTGACGCCATGTTGAATCGCCTGGCAAAATAATAAAAAAACATTTTTGGGGGTGTCAGTGTCCCTTTAAGGATGATGCAAGATAAAATTATGATACATGAGACAATGTTGAAATGCATGAGATAAAGTTGCCTGCTGTTAGCAACAGCCAACTTTATTGCCTGTTGTTAAGCCCTGCTCGGTAAGAAGCCCCGTGAGGCGCGCTTCTTACCGAGCACCGGTGCACCGCAGAAAAGCAATGCCCAGCGATGCGAGCTCGCGGGTGGTGCTTCTCCGCAGTGCACTGGTGCTCGGAAAGAAGCGCGCCAACGGGGCCCCGAGAACAGAAGGTAGAAATAGCCTACACAAAAACGCCGTTCAAATTAAAGAGCTTATGATTACATTGAAAGCGTAGCGGGGCAACCAAAATTTCAAAATTTGTTTGACTTAACCAAAAGTATGAAATATTAGGGTTTGATATCTAGCGAGCCTACTGTACTCTTTTCAAAAGTACACACCTTCTCATAGCTCCTACACCAATCATCCCGACCCTCCATGGTTTGGTCACTTGCATCGAGTCTGCATTGGACGCGAGTGTTAGTGTTTGATGTGAACTTTCATCCAATCGTAAGCTTCCTGCCCAAGAAATAGCAACCTCCAGCGTTGCTCGACGGGGTATTGAAGAGTGTCTAGTGAATGTGTGTGAGGTATGGATGAATCTGATTGCATTTCTTGTTGCATTCTGGAATTGCAGAAAGACTGTAGGAAGAGGATAGAGAATGTCTGGATCCACTACAAGCCGTCTTTGTTCCAGCATGTGGGCATGCATTCCTCTCTGAAGGGCAAAGTGCAGAAGTTGAAGGTATGCCCTAGCGTGTTCGTTTGGGCTTGTCCGACGATTGTTGGCAATGGAAGGTTGCCGGTGGATTGAACGTGTCAAAGGCAGCCAAGGCGGTCTATGAAAAGCGTGTTTACTGCCACATCATTTAGAAGGGCATAGACACCCCCTTCTGAAGCCCAATATAATTTTGTTAGGAAAAAGGTCAAGCTGTGGAGTGTAGCTCTAATGCTATACTCTGTTCCAGCTTCAGTCCGAGCGCAGTAGACGCCACGAACTATCCCAGCCGATACAGCGCCGGGAGAAAATCGCGTGACCTGCCGGTTGGGCGGAGCGACGCAGGGACCTCAAGGTCACATAACACTCCCTCCACACTGGATTGGCTGGGATGGCTCCTAGCGTCCGCTGCGCTCGGACTGAAAGTGAAACGGAGTATAGTTTACTGATTTTTTTAGCTTGTTTACTGAAAGAAGTGTACTGTACATTTTTTGTTGAAAAGGTTACACTGTCTATGAACATATTGCCTAAAAGGGGACGAGTAAAACCATAAATCTTTCCACAGCAAAGATTTCTTTATATGCATTCGAGCAAAATGAATAAGAACAAGAATTTTGCACATGTAGTGTCTGTGAATTCTAGTAAAACAACTTGGTGTAATACCCCCAGTGGACCTGCGGCTCTAAAATGAACTACCATGACCCATCTTAACCGCCATCGCATCTGTAGGCTGCTGCTCCATTGTTTATTGCACTGTGATTCACTGCTCTAATAATGTACTACACTGTCATTGTAGGTTCTGTCATTCACTGCTCCACCATTAGCAGTTTGTACAGCCAGTGTTTTGCAATTTGCTCATCATCATCTACTGATTTGTTCTTCTGTTCATTGGTGCACGTGAATTAACGCTTCAACTCACGGCTTTCTTCGTTCCAGGACCACCAGTTTGGGAAACTGGCGATGTTTGTGGCCCACCAGAACCCAGAAGCTCGCGTGAGCACCACACTCAAGTCGTACAGGACATTTACCATCACGAGGGCCTACAAGGGAATCTCTTACTTCTGGAGTTTGGGGCCTCAAAAGGGAGACAACATCACGTTCCAGTTCACGCCTCCGGTGCAGATCGAGAGGTAAGTGCCACTCTGGCTACCTTCAAACCAAATCTGAAGGCTAGCTGCAACAAAAAGATTTATTCTGGTTTCTTCATGAGTGGCATTCAACTGTCATACAAGATGGGAGTCATATAAGCCCACAGTCATATAAGCCCTAGGTCGCCAGACTTTGAGGGAATTCCACCAATATTGGCCAGATCTCCCAACTGTCTGGCAATATTTCCTCTACTTAGACTTGTGCGGCAAACAGAAATCACTGACGGCACTGTGCCGGTGTTTGCACCTCCAACGGCGACGTGTGAACGGTGCAGGGTTCAGGGGATTGGCAGCAGCGTGGAGCAGAAGAGGGGGGGGGGGGGGGGGGGGTGTAAATTAGAGGGTGGGGGGGGTGGAAAAAAAGGAGTCGTTTGAATTTAAAAAACAAAATGCAAAAACTGTGGAAGGGGCACGCTTTTTTCTGGAGAGCTACATCGCCTCTGCTGTGAAGAGCTTATCCGTTAATGGGGTACTCCGGTGCCTTGCTCATTCTCTTTACTTCTACATTTATTGAAATATTTTCATGAGTAAAAATAAAAGGAAAAAAGCATACAGAAACACCAATGTATTTATTTCTTTATTTATTTGTGCATAGTATAGTAGAAAACGCCAGGAGGGATTTTCAGTTGTCACACAGCGTGAGTGTCCTGCCTTTTAAAAATACCCTTAGCGTCTTGTGAACCACAGGTGTGCATGCACAGCTAAAGCACGGCCAAAGGCAACGAGCGTCTGCTGCAGGCTGGGCGTCTGAATGAGACGGCCTGCCGGTTTGATTTTGTCGGCGACTCTAGTGGCTACATGCCACCTGGCATCCAACCGTGGGAGGCCTCCTTTGTACAGGAAGGCGCGCTTCTTGCGACTTGCCACATACTCGCGAAGACCCAACGCGTCCCAACATGCTCCTACTTTTTTCCGCGCAGTTTCCTGTTCCGCAGTGGAAACCCCGAGCACCCGAAGGACAGGTTCTTCAACACGACGGTGGAGGTGCGGCTGGACTACGAGCCCCTCCTCCTGTCCGCGTTTCCGAGGACGGCCGATGGCTTTTACGTCGTCGGCAGCTTCAAGGAGTCCAACGGTGTCGCGGAGCGCGTGTTGCCAGCGGACCTGGGCGCCGTGAGCGTCCTCCGGCTGAATGTCCAGTCCGACTCGGATCACTGGGCCATCCTCAGCGAGGTAAGTGCACCGACCTTTACCGTCACGTTAGCGCCGGTTCGCGCGGTATTTCCCAATTTGTTTCTGCTTCATTCTCTCACTGCTTGAAGCAATTCTACAATGTTCCAAGCGACCATTCCTAATATATTGCGGATGGATTTGACCTAGCAAATACTGCTGAACCTTGTATGCAGTCGGGCAGCCCTGGAAGTTTTCTTGGGCTACCTGAAAAACGGCGCCACCGTACCAGAGTGCTCGGTCATCGTAAGTGAAACGAGCGAGCGCAACGGATTTAATCCTACTCAAACGCAGATGTGTGAACCAGCCTTTATTTGTGCAATGCGGGATATGGGTCGACATTTTCACGAAAGAGCCTTTAGCCTGTTAAGTACAGCTCCAGTGCCTGAAACGCATCTTCGACTGGTCTGTACAGCGTCTCACGCTGCCCATGCATCGAAAGTGGTTCCTAAGTGGCAGCCGATTACGTCACCAGAACCGGCGAATCGTGCTGTCGAATGCGGCGATCTGGTTGATCGCAAAAGTTCCGGCAAAGACGACGGGTGAATGCAATTGTCGCCATCTTCATGGCGTCCCAACCCCTGGCAGCTGAAGTTTCTGGGGAGACCCTCGAGCTGAAGAGTGACCTCCGGGCGTCTGCTAGCTGCGTCGCCGTCGCCGCCGTGAAATGAGGACGCAGTAAATGCAGCATTTTGAGCCGTGTTCTAGGCATCGTGTTTAGAGCTTGAGAACAACTGGAAAGGCTCCGCCGTCAAATCCTCGCAGAGAAATGGCATCGGTGTGCCGCTCGGTACGAACACGTCATTTTTCTGACGCTGCTCAAAGAAAGGAGCATCTGTTGGTGCCTGGTGCACATCGCCGCATTGGGTATTAGGCTGAGCATTGCTCCCTGTGGGTGTAGCCTCCTGCCATTCTCGTGTCGGGGTTAATGTCCAATATTCCCAGTGTGCGAAGAGCTGAGAAACAACTCCGGATACCTGCAAGAAAGTGAGCGGTAGATGTCTGATATTTATTCTGTATTTTTTCATGTGACCGGACCGAAATTGGTGCATTCACGAGTATGCTAGCATGCTTGCCTCTTATCTGGGAGTCTTGGGATCAATTCTGGGCAGTGGTTGTTACCCTTGTTCTTTTCTAACTACAACTTGGGAGTGTTCCAGCATGATTGCCATCTCTGGTTTAGACGTATCTGTCACACAATCATTGACACCTCCGATGACACTGATCGACTATCGCAAAGTCTTTTATTTGTAGGCGCTCATTTGCCTCATTAGACCTTTGGGTTTTCTCAGTGTGCCAGTGTCTTGTCACTCATGACAGTGTGGCCTTGAGTTGCCTGTGATATTGATCTGAATAATCTGGTATGGTTAGACTTGACAAGACCAGGGGCTGGTCTGATCCTTACTAAATCTGGTTGTATCTGGTTTCTTCTCTCCGAATCTGAAGTGAACAAAATTTAGGTGTGTCTGGTATGATTCAGATTGGTGCTTAAGTTGATATTTCCTGATACAATCTGATTAGATAAGCATCAGATACGACACAAGAGTGGCCTGGACTATACCATGAACATAGCCTCAATCTGAAACCAACCAATATTATGAGACCAAATTAGACACTTGTCTCGCCTTGATGATCTAATGGTTTAATCACATTTTACCCTTGTCTGTTCAGGTGAAGTTTTCTGACTGCCACCAACTTGTTGCTTTTTCAGATCTGGATAAAAGTCTTCAAAAATGGCCAGAACGACACAAACCTATCCCTGAAGCCCGTGCGGTGATGTCACACGGTTCTGGGATGAAAGCGGGACTTCAATCTTAATTTTTATTCTCCTGTGAAGTGCCCTAGGGACCGTGCAATAATTTACTCATTGTGAGGCATGGTGACAGTGAGCAGAGTCACCAGCAGCATAGGTGCCTTCCCTGCTTGTCACCACAGAGAGACGATAGCTTGACTGCAATCGACACTTCAGGCCCCGAGTGATTCATGTGGGTACTGCGGCAGAACGCACTGCGCAGTGTCATCCGAACCACTAGTGACTTTACGGTGACTAAGCTCGACGACTAGGAAGAGTGAACAGCCTCGAATTCAGAAATCACACCGGCACTGTGTATTCTTTCCAGCATATCTGCGCCGCTAAACAGTCGTGGTGCCTGGTGTGGATCGTCTTTCGTGAAGTGACGTGTGACTCCATCGAATATTGGTCGCTTGTTTGAACGACCTGACTCGTTTATGCGTCTTTTCTATTGCTTTTTGTTTTCTGGTCAACCGCTTAGCTTAATATAATGGTTGCTAAGAAATAGTATACCACAGCCACAAAAGCTCTTTACTGGCTGTATAAAATTGCAGATCGTTATCGAGGCTGGAAGGCACATTTTCGAAGGAGACCAATCTGTCTAAAAATGCCTTTAGTGAATGCTTGGTTCACCGTGAACATAGCTAGAGCACAGCTCGAAATAATGTAGCTTTTGGTTTTAACTTTAGGCTTCCTGATGGCAGGACAGGAAACAATGCATCTCATATAGCCAGGGCACCATTCATCACCATCCATCGCTGTAGCTACCAGAAATCAAATGTTTTCTGCTGGACGTATTGTTTACTTCCAGTAGCTCATAGCAGCAGGATAGGCCTTTAATTGAACGGTTGGTCTGAGATACTGGCAGCGTATTGCCTTTGTCCGTTTGTGCCTAGTCACAAATGACTGGCAGCGTAACGTTTGCTAGGAAAAGGGGATCGAGTCTATGCGATGGACGAATGCAGTATGGTTTCTGTTTTGGTGCGAAAGGTGTGGGTGCAGTCAGAGCACCGGAGGGCTTCTATGCAATGCATATCTTGGACTGTGGCAGCATGCAGTTGATACAGCTGCACGTTGTGTAGGCGATGAGGCATGTTACTTAAGTTTTTATGCATGAAAGTGAAGTGTCCAGTTTGTTTCAGGCATTCCAGCATGTGGTTCTGATTGCCAAGTGTGTGAAAGATAACTCTGTTTTTTTAGAGTAATCTTTAATGCTGCTTTTTTTACCTCCCAGAATGTCAGGCGTCAGTTGCTCGCGGCTAAAATTTGCAGTTTTAATATTTAGAGCTCAAGGGTCGGCGTACACTTCATCCTTTTCGCTTTTTTCTTTCCTTCTTTCAGAAATCCTTACTTTGCTTTTCCTTTCTGCGTATATGTTCTGCCTCGCAGAAGGTAGAGTTTGTGCCTCGGCCTAATAACCAATCGGGTAATGTTTGGCCGTAATTGGAATGTCCAGTTTCATAGTGTGCCTAGTCAAATTTACTATTCAGAATGAAACACTATATTGCACCTAGACTTCTACAGTATGAAATAGATATATGAAAACTTTGTACAGTTAGGAATTTCTCTTGCAGCTTTTAGCATGTTTTGACGGCACGGCATCGGACAGTATGCAGGTTTTAAGTTTTATTTTTAAAATGTAAAAGTGTTCAACGTTTTAAGGCTAATGCTGTGTTTTCTTACTGGAAATTGGCTATCGTCAATGTATACCACACTGGCTGTCCTATGTTGAGGTGCTGACTATACTGGAGATAACATTATTTTACAGAACAGAGTATGCTCGCGCCTTGTTTACCAACTCTGGTTCGCTTTAGGTGCTAGCAGAGTTAAAGTTGCAAGCACTAGCATTTTGCCAAGAACAATGCTTGCATTGTATGAGCGCACATGCTAGATGCTTGGCAGGGGCACTGAAAGCCTGTTGTAGGTTCTGCTGTGTTCACACTAAAAGGGAAACAGGGTGGGGTATATACAAGTTATTCAAAGGTGGCCGTCTCAGAATTGTTTTGGCTGGCATCACTGCTAGTTAATCTCTGGAACACTGGCACTGCCCGTGTGTTTATTAGTGTGAATACCTTATCTGAAGCCTTGAAAACTGGCAGTTCAAGGACGTGCGTCTGTGCTGGGCTTTGAAATGCCGGAGATATTTTGGAAGATCTGATGCCTTCGTTCTTTGTAAGCGTTCCACTTCCTCCTTTCTTTCTAGGGCGTTTGCAATTACAGATGAGAACACGTCGCAACACGTTTCTAGATGAAGCGTCGTGTCTAACTCGCACGGATTGGTGTGCACGTTCGCAGGTCTAGAACGTTAGCTACATAATGAGCCATTTCAAAGTGCCTTCGACCAAACTAGCACTCTTTAAGGTTGCACTAAGCTGGAGCCTTGTTCCTTCGGTACAAAATGCAGTGATGCGCACATTGCTGTTTTATCCTTTCACATTACACCTGTGCTTCGAGGCTCGCCTAGTTTCTATGGATTTGATCATTCACACCATACACTAGAGTGCAACTCAAAAAATTTATCTTTTTACAGTTAGTGGCTTAGAAAGTCTAAAATTTTCACACTTATATTTAAAGCATGAGCATAAAAAGTTATCAGATATTGCAGTAATTTCCATTACAAGTTATGGTTACTTCCCATTTCGGTACTTGGCAATACGTACAATTATCTCCCTGCTGAGGCATCAGAACTCTTGTGTAGTTATATGCATTTGCTCTATGTTGATGCTTGGTTAGGTGTTGCATGCACTGCTTTCTGATTCAGTTTATGTTAGCTTAGCCGAATGTTTGATTTGGAAAAGCTCTATTGAAGGTTCAGCAAGATCAAGTGTTTCAAAATCCCGTGTTAGGTTTCTCAATGTGTTAGTGCTGAGTTCAGTCGCCGAACGTGACTGGTTCTATTGGGCATGCATTAGGAAGCTGTGGTCAGAATTATATTTATTACAAGGCTGCTGTTGTGTTTCAGTATCAAAGGATAAGGATAAGCTTTCCTTATGCTTAAAGACTCCCTGACATAATTTGCAAAAATGTCTTTGAACAATGTTTTTCGTAGGGAGCAAGTCTGGTGGTTTGTGCAGTGTGTGAGGTGCTGCTTAAAAGTGTTTGTGTGAGATGAAATCTTCAAAAAGGACTACCAAAGAAATGTTTGTTTATTGTAACGAGGGCCGGTACTTAATAGTGCAGAAAAGATACATTTTAACTAGATTTCTTTATGCAAATGAGTATTGCGGTTTCCATGACAGCGCTGCTATAGCTGAAGTACAGTTTGGTTATTAAATGCAAAAATTTATTGAAGCTCTATCTACTTGACGTTTATTGAGGGATTTTTTATTAAAGGGATACTGAACCGAAATTTGGATTTCACAAATTAAGGCTGCAGAAGTGTTGAACGGGACGTTACGAACCCCAAAACATCACTCGTACATCGATATCTCAAAAGGGTGGCCGTACTTTTGGAAAAGAAGGGCGCGATCAAGCGAGTTCTTTGACGTAATTGTCCTCCGGGAGAATTTGAGAATGAGGAGGAGCGGCCTCGCTTCTCTCCTCCTCGCTTCGGTTCACCAGCTTGACGGGACGTAGCGAGGAGGAGAGGGAATGGGAATCGTGACGTGCCTTGTCTCGTCGGCCTCGTCGGTCGGGTTCAATCGCGCACTTCTTTTCCAAAAAAAAATACGGCGATCCGTTAGATATATCGCCGTATAAGTGATATTTTTTGGTCTTCCAGCTTCCTGCCTATACGCCCGGCCTTGTTTAGTGACCTCGAAATTTCGGTTCAGTATCCCTTTAAGCTCTCCTTTGCACCTGTGTGTCTTCACTTTCTTCATGAAAGTGAAGGATTGGTACCCAAGCGTGCGAAGGCAGAGACGTAGCACGTCGGTGTGCCAAGGCATGTGCTTTGATGGTGGTGCGAGACTTGCGTTCGACGAGTTGTGCCTTTTTCCTGCGGTGCTGCACTTTTGTAAAAATTTCCAGGTTTTCTCAAAAGCAACTTACGACTTTTTACACAAGGTTTTAAAGAACTTCTTCGGGGAATGACAGTGACCGAGCAGAAAACATGTCTTCAGCACTCCACCGCCCAGCCTCTGGAATGCTCCAAGCGATCGACTTCCGGTACCTCGGAGATGGCAGTCCTGTGGTCAGTGGTCCCAACGCCCCCTCTATTTTTAGATGCCTGTCACACAAACGCTTTTTGCCCAAGTGATTTCTTTCCCAGTTACCCTCTCCCATTTGCAAGAGCTGGCCGCTCGTGGCGCTGCCAGCTGCCACCCCGCGATTGGCCAATGGGTGGAGCAAAGGCCGCCGCCAGCGCCGAATGTTCCCCCCGCGGTTGGAGCGTAAACTTAAAGTGCGGCACAGCGTCGACCAATCAGCAGACCGCGACGTCATAACATTGGAGACATTTAAAGCATAAAAGAGAAGCGTCCAATATCGACGTCTCGTTGACAGTTTCCTCTGGGCCGGCTTGATAGAACTCTGAAAGAAAACAGTGCAAAGGGTGGGGCACGCGAGCGTCTTGAGACGCGGCTCGAGTCTCGCTCAGCTTGTGCGCTTCCTTTCCCCCAGTCTCAGCTGAGACACTGTTTCTAGCAAGTCAGCCCTGGTTTGGCACGCAGGTTCTTTTAGTCCACTGCTAAATATGGACGTGACGAAAACCTCACACGCGCCAGGTTTTCAGTCACCAAGAGTTATACCTTTTAGGGGCGAAGCTCCTTAGGGTCTAGCCTTGTCCGTCCGGCGTCCGTGCTCACATCGATCTTGCTGGTGCTCGTGCTCGTGAGCTCACGTGCTCGTGTAAAGCAAAAACAAAAATGTTTGCGGAATCGACAGGATTTGAACCTATGCGGGGAGACCCCTATGGATTTCTAGTCCATCGCCTTAACCACTAACTCAAGAGCTGGAGATGTCATGGATGAAACGTTGCATGTATGCAGTCAAATGCGTATTAATCGCGTTAAACTTTGTATGCATTGGCTCAAGGTTTATAGACGAGAGGGCGCTGCGGTCAAATGTGTATATAACCTCGTTCCATACCACACATTCTCTTTCTGACATGGATGAAAACGAGCGAAAGGCTCGGCGTGCTGCGGCTGGGTCTCTACGCAGACAAGCACCACAGGAACCTCGCCCCAATCAACATCAGTCACCACGTGGAGATACGGTCAATTTTTACTCGAGTAACGCTAAATCGGCTTAAATTAGTCGAGTTGCATTTTTAGAGCTTATGATCACAGCTAGGGGCTGTTACGTGGCCTGTGGTTGGCCGCGAGATGCTCGCCTATTCAAACCAGCGTATGCCACTCCGGTACCACTCCATTTACCACGCCGCTTCGCTTGCCAGAGGCATTCTGCCTGGCTACCGGTAAGTCTGCTAAAACTCAGTTTATTTTTAGATATCCAGCGTTTTACGAGTCGCGGTAGTACATAAGTGGAAGGCACTGCTGCAACGCAAGACGAGGAGGACGCGGGCTCCTTCCAGTGCCGAACCGTTGGCCGAACACACCACCACCGTCGCGTGATGTTTTTGTGTTTTGAGTGAACAGACCTAGCGAATTTGCCGTGCGCGATTGCTGCGTGCCGCTGTGCACGCAAAGCACTAGGAAGAAGGATCCTGTGGTTTCTTTCCACGAGATTCCGGCCGCCCTCCTGGTGCGTGAGCAGCTTTTAAAGGTCATATCCTGCAAGGACTGGGAGCCAAATTCTACGTAGAATTACTCCGTCGACAGTAGCAAGCATTTCGTTGCTTCCGACTTTAGAGAGAACACGAAGATTCACCAAATCAAGAAAGGAGCGGTGCCTAGTGTATTTGTGGGAAATCCCTCATATGACCCCTGCTCCTCCTGAGGTACAATGAGACGCAAGCTTCCGCAAGCGCGCACTGGAGCTCGGTTTTTCCAAGAGCAGAACTGAAAGGAAACAGTTTAAAACGGGGAGAAGCGAAAACACAGGCGACGTACGTGCAGCCTGTCGGCAGCACTGTGGACTCTGCTAGTGTTCCAGTTTGTGACCATGTAGAAGTTGCCGCTACACCAGGCTGTGCCCTTCCAGCTTAAACCTGCGATACAAGCGTGAGCAGGGCAGCCAAGAAACAACACCTGTGAGTACCATTAGTGGTGGAAGCACACCTGAGTTGGCGAAACGAGCTTTTGCGGCACAAACGGAGAAAGCAAAGACAAGCTGCAGGCGTTTTGTTTTTAGACGAAAATGGAGAGTCAAAAAGCAAGCTCTCCGGCTAAAGATAGCAAAGCTGAAACAAACAGTCGACAAACACAAGGGGGAGCTTTAGCTGAAAGAGGACTATTATGTCAGTGCTTTCTTAGATGTTGCTGCAGACAGTGACCAGAAGAATGTGTAGGCTACATTAATTCTAGACCAGGTGACCGATTACAAGAGAAAACGACCGACATGGACTGAAGCAACTGTGGGGTACAGTATTATATTCAGGATCCTGTGTACGAAACCCTATGAGTATATTCGTTCTTAACAGCTCCTGTGCTTGCCATCAGGAACACTTTACAGAAGTACACTGGCACTACAGCCGGCGAGGTCGGCTTCAACTCCCTAGTTTGGTGTAGGCTGGAAACAGCTTCAAGGTCTAACTGCACCTCAGCCAAGAGTGTGCAGCTTGGTGGTGGATGAGATGCACATTAGGCAAAAAGTGGAATACCATAAACAGCGAGACTCCTTTATTATAGACGTCGAAATAAGCCCGAATTCGAATCACTTGATGTAAGCTAACGGTGATAACCTATCAAATTCATTGCTTTGCTTTCTGCTGTGTGGGTGGGCTGTGCGCTTTAAATTACCTGTCGGGTGCTTTTTACCAAGGCCTGTACTTAGGGTGACCACCTTTTTGCTAGCGAAATGCGGGACACACGTGGCAGGGGGGCGGTTGAGGAAATTTATTAACACGCAAACCACGAACCGAGGATCTGTTAACAGATTTAATATGCTGGTGCTGTGGATACACCTGCAAATTGTTTAGCAGCAATTAAGTTCAAATAATTTTCACTCCCAGGGATATATTTTAATGCTAAGTATGTTATTAAATGTGTCGAAGTTGAAAACATAAAACTCGACTGCAGTAGAACTCAATGAATCAAATGCAAACAAGAAACAGTAAATCTTTTCCCGGTTATTGTTTCCTTTCAACGCTACTTTCATCCACATGGTTCTACACAAAGTTTTAACATTAAGTTGTTGTTTTTTTTCGACCGTTGTGAGTCGCAGGCTTTTTGCCTTGTATGGCTGTCTTCACTAAAAACATTCTTCCACAGCAACCTTTTCACATTGACACAGCAATTTGAAAATAATTACAATAATTTATATTTAAACTTTTGGAGTACAATTTTCTCTTACAATATTTTGCCACCAAGGGGAGAGGCACAACGGCGCATGCGCATCGGTGCTCCTGCAAGAACGACGGTCGCTTCCCGCAATGCTTGTACACGATTACCAACAACCTCCGCGCTTCCCCGTGTTCCGTTTTTCGGCAGCACCATGAGTTACAGAGTGAAATTTACGACAGTGAAAGGCGGGACAGTTTGAAGATTCAGGGATTTCACGCAGGACGCGGGACACGAGCCCTCAATGCGGGATAGTCCCGCGAGTCGCGGGACGGGTGGTCACCCTACCTGTACTGGGAGGCTGTACTGGGGTTGAACTTGCTGAAACTGTTGTTAATGTGATCAAGAAAACTGGACAGCTTGGGTTTGAGGTTGCATGATTGGTCACAGATAATCACTAAATTAATGTTGCCGCAATGGGCATTCTCTGCACAGAGCAGGTGACAACATTGGCTCCGCAACCAGTGGATCCTTGTTCAAGGCTTCCTTTTGTGCTTTCGACCAGTGCCACATAATCAAAAATATCAGATCGCAGTTCCTTGCACAGAACACGGGCGGTTGCAAAGAAACCGCAGACCCCCTGAAAGAGCTGTACAAGATGCAGCAAGGATCTTCCGTAAAACCCATTAGATTTCCAGTGATGTGATTGCTGCGCCAATTGCGCCAAACTGCGCCAAGGGGCTAACCCTGCTACATCCTGCTACATTTTGCCAAAATATGGGTAATCTGCGCCAAACCTGCGCCAAAGGACCAGTTTTGGTCGCCTTTCAAAACCGAAACTAAACTGAGTACCGTAATTGAGCCTGCGTGAGCTAGGTGGCGCAAGCGGCCACCCGACATCACAAAGTACCCTGCATCAATCGTGACATTGTAACCCTGGAGCCGGGGAAAAGAAGGGACGTAGGGCAGGCACAAAACTCCAATGTCATTATTGAAGCAGCTCGCCTGCAC